AAAACGAAATGTACATTTTTCACGATTCTCGAACTTCACTCCAGTCAAAAAAATTTCATATCTACAGAACGAAAAGTTCGGGAAGCCTAAAGATTTGGATTTATAGGTTCTCAAACATGCTCTACAAGATGAAACTACTTAGAAAACATTCTGAAATGCTCATTGATCGCGCTTCTGTGAGAAACAGTCGTCTTTCTCGTGCAATGGCTGGCTCCTATAGAGATGATATTCTCTGTTATCCATGATTTATACCTCAATCGATAGAGTATACAGAACTAGTAAAAGCTCGAAAAGGATTCATCCCCATGATGCGCTAAAGTTATAGCATTTTTTCGTTTTCAAGCCGAAAACAGAAATAGACAGTTTCGGTCTTCCAACTTTATTATTTGCTAAATTATGGAATCTGCCGTTCTTAAGAAAAATACATGTGTTTCCGAAACATCTGTATTTTCTTAGGGAGAAAAAGCCCAAAAAACAACTTGTGTTTTTTGTCTCTATTATTTTGTTTTGTTAGATTTGCACGCATGTGACAAATCAGGAAATTTTTTCAATATAGAACATGCTTAACTTGAAACTAAATATAGAGATACAATGTGATTACCCATGGGGAAATTTTAGTAGGTACCGCGGTGTGTACACGCGTGAAAAATATATTCCACTTGTGACAACGGGTGAACTGGTCACGAAAACGTTTCGCGTCATATTTTTTGCACGTGAACACAGGTGAAAGTCGTGAAGTGTATAGTAGCCACACGTGAATTTCTCATGTTAAAATTTCCGTAAAAAAATATCACTTGCGCGTAAAAGTTTCAACGTGTTTCAACGTGTAACTTATGTGAATTACTTCCAGTTTTCTGTGCATCATAAGATAATATTCATTTGCATTTAATACATTGAACAAATGGAATAATCTTTTGTTGATCATCTTGGATACGTTGAAACGAATTCCACCATGTTGCTGTGCCTGTTTCAGGTTTATTACAGGTTTGAAATTGTCCGTTGTCTAACTTAACTTTAATATCATTTTTTCTTTGTCTTTGTCTTTCCTTGGAGTACTCATTCTTTCTTATAATCACTGATTATGATAGAAATTTATTTTTAGAACTATACTGAAGTGTACAATACGTTTTATGAGAAAAATATATATGACTGAATTTTTGGACTACAGCTAATTGTACATATATGACACTGACGTATTTTCATTGTTCTGGGAAATATTTGTTTCGTACCTTCAAAACAGAAATTGAACATATACGTTATTGTTTGTTATATAAACCCACTGGCATTTTTCGACCGATATCGTCTGACATATGAAACAAAGCATCTCACAGAAAAATGAATATGTCAGTTTGTTATATATTTTCTTATTTGATTTATAACTTCGAGACTAAAGCAAACTAATAACATTAGATTTCCTCGGGTATAGTCTAAAAAAATCTAATCCGTACCCGACAACTTTGTACCCGTACCCAACCCGTACCCGACGCTTTCGTACCCGTACCCAGCCTTCGGGTCGGGTCGGGTCGGGTTGCACATCTCTACCTTGAACACGAAAAAATGCTATGACATTTGAGCAAAGTACCATGAGGCTTTACTAGCTCGATATACTCTATCGATTGAGGTATAAATCATGAAAAACGAAGGGTATTACCTCCATAGGTTCCCTCATAATCACTTGTCGCGAAAACACAATAACTAGAAAATTAAAGAAAAAGGTTCATGACTTTGAATGAATTCTTTAAAATAAAAATTCTTTTAATCGATTTTTAAGAAAAATTTCTATTTCTAAACTAGAGTACATGAAATTTTTTTCAAGGTACGGATACCTCATCTGTTACAATGTTCTATCTTGTACTCGAATTATGTGATAATAAAGCAGAAATGATTATTTTGGATGAATTAAACCAAGCTACCTTATCCCTCACCAGTCTTACTGATGCTCTCAAGGAATCAATGCGATTTAAACCTGTTGGTCCTGTGATTATGAGATGTGCAATTGATTATGATAAATATAATGGTATTGAAATTAAACGTGGAACAAATATAATTATTAATTTAGTTGATCTGCATCGTCGAACAGATGCATATCATTCATCAAATGAATTTAATTTGAAAAATGTTCAAGATAAAGAGTTATCAAATACTGGTGAGAATATTAATAATTTTATTCCATTTGGTGCTGGACCAAAAGAATGTATTGGTAGATGGTTAGCTAAAACAGAAATGGAAGTGATTATTGAAATATTGATTAAACAATTTCGATTTAAACGAGCAGAGGGAACAAAACCATTGAAAGAACTGGAAACACGTTGGGATATTGCTCAACAGCCAACTTCTCCAGGAATATTAATTGTACAAAAACGTTGCTAATTAAATATTCTATTCATTGGAAGAAATACCTGTTAATTTTGTATTATAACTTTCTTTTTAAATTGTAATTATTCTTTCTTTTTTGTCCTAGGGTGCAACGAAGCGCTCGGAAGTGCCGAACATCTCTGTTCGGCGGCTCGACATTTTTCTCGAAGGCTCACCACTTGTCTGAAGCATGAAGGCTTGAAATCGATAACTCCTCGAAAGCTTATATAGAGGATCCAAAGTCTCATTTTTCACTCGATAAGGGCCTATTTTCGAGTACTCGCCGCACCCCTCGAACGATTTCTCTTTTATCTGCATGTGAATATCGTTGATAATATACCTACGAGAAGTGAATGACGGCTGGAAAGTATTTCTACGTGGTTCTTCTCACTAATTAACCGTAGTGAATAGAACAGCAGTCCTAATACAAAGTATTCGCTATACCTTACCCATTGGAGTTTTTAAATACTTTCGAATTAATGTAAACTAATTTCGAGATTTAAAGGAATTTGAATGAATTTAAAAGCAAAGACGTTCAGATTAATTTTGCGTTCAAAATTAATGCGTATCAATTTAAATATTTAAACAAATATGAAAAAACATCATAAAATTTAATTCGAATTAATGCGGCATTAATTTAAAAAAGGAAAACAAACAGAAATTAAAGGACGAGAGCGATTATTTGATGGAATCGATCCCTGCTTGAATTCCATCGACACATACATGGTTAGATGCAGAATGAACAGGAGAACATTTCTAGTCACTCGGCAGACCTTAGACATGCTCTCAGAAAAAATTGGGTCCAATTAACTGTAATCACTTCTGATGCGTATTATCGATCATATTTTCGAGTGTGTCTCTCTCTGCTTCATACCTTAGAACTATTATATGTCATTCGCAAGCTCCTTTTCCGCGCTATATTTCTCTATATCACATATACGGAAATAGTCGTTCTGAGGTCAACTATGTTTAGAAATACTTCCGTCTATGGAAAATAATCTTCTATGCGCAAAAAGTCTAAGATAATCTATGACACTCTTTATCATCCAACCACTACGATAGATATACCATTCGATAGAGAATTTCCCGCGCTACAAGTTCATATACATATGATAGTGAAAAAAGTGTCCCAGCTAATTTTCATTATCAAATTAATGTACATTAATTTTCTTTAAACCAATCTAAATGGATTTGTGGATAAAAGCTAATTTAAATCAATTTTCAATCAACAATTCGTTTCAACCACTTTAACTAAAAATTAAATACATCAATCTGGTACTGGAAATTGATTTAAATTAATTTGCAGTTTCAAATTTCTTTGAAGTACTTTAAACGAAATTAATGTCTATTATTTTCTGTTCGTAAATTAGTTTAAATCAATTTGTAATAACTAATTCATTTAAATTTATTTAGAAAACATTTGCTAAAATTAATTTCAAATTAAAAATTAATCTGAACGAATTTTGTACCCAAAATTAATGTAAATAATTACAAAAAAAAATTAATGTAAATTAATTTCAAGTGTTTCGAAACCAAAATAGGTACTTATTTCGGTTGAGAAACATTTTCAAGAATTTCTGAGACTGCCACTGGATTCCTCGCAAAAAGTTGCTTCGGGAAGCTCCAATTATTTAGTAGTTATGATTCTCTTTTATGAATAACTCAAAGCAAATGCGAGCTCGCGATTACCTTTAATAGAATAAAAAATATAAAAATCTGTTTTTATCGATGAAGTTGTGTATGAAATCGTTTAACAAAGGGAAGAGGCGAGAGAAGAAATTAGTCCTCGCGCGAAGAGATAGTCTCTTATTTTTATACATTCAATAACGACTATCCAATGAATACTGATGATAGGTATTGGCGCCTATTTTTAAATTTTTGGGCCGAATTGATGGACAAGCAACCATTAAATATAATACAACTGTTGGTTTTTCTCATATGTTTAGTTTTTATAGCAGAAAAACAGCATTAATTCAGGAAGATGTTAATGAAAATTATTATGATAAATATAACGCTGACAATAAAATTTATGACGAAAACGAAGAAGAAACAACAACAGTGGAATAATAAACGCATACGTATACTGTACATTTATTAAAACTTATTATCAGGTATCTTAAAAAACCCAAACCCAATCAAAGAATTGGGTTTGGGTCAGAGTTGGGTTTGGTATTGTGTTGGATTTGGGTTAATAAGAGCCTAGCAAGATGCTTTATTTCATGGTAGTCCATGTGAAAACAGAATGTGCAGTGTTTCGTTTCGTTCTGTGGATATATGCGTGCAAGACGGTAACGATAAGAACTTTCTTTAAATGAGGTGGGATGTCTAAAAAAGCTGAGTTCTTTTATGCTATTGATTTTGCGAATATCATCGTTATTTTTCAGTGTCTTAAATACATGTACAGAACAGATTTCAGCTGACAGTACTTTCCCAAATTAAAAAGCCTATATAAAAAGAACAGATTTTTGTTAGGGAGAATAAGGGTGACAATACAGCACTCGAACAAAGTTCATTTATCTTCTATGTTATTCCCGCTTTTGTTTGTAGAATAAACTGTTTTTTGGGTCAAAGAAAAACGTTAATATGTGCAAACCTCTTGTTTGGGAGAATATATAATAATTCTCTGATTATATAGTTTCCTTTGTTAAGTATTTGATCTCGAACTCGAACGTTTTGGATGATTTTCGGGGGTGAGCTGAACAGCTCGCTCGAAGTAAGGTACGGCATCTTTTCTTCGACCTTGTGCACTGTGCAGACGTCCGAAACCATCGAGTGTTGACGCTAGAGAGAAGGGATCGACGACATTACCCTGTCGCTGCTCAATTTCGAGCGCACTCTTTAGATGAGCCAGAGCTTGATCGTACTCGGCCATACCGATGTACATATGGCCCAAATTGGAATGGGCGGCGACAAGGAAGCTGTGATCAGGAGGCATACATCGCTTTTGGATCGAGAGAGCATTTTCAAAATGGGTAATAGCTTCTTTCTGACGGCCCAACGCGTGGTAAATATCGCCCAGATTGCCTTCGATCGTGGCGCGTGTTGGATGGTTCTCTGGCAGTAATTTCTGACACAGAGCAAATGCTTTTTCTGAATGCTGCAGAGCACCGTGCAGTTCTCCCGTTGCCTTCAAACAAGCAGCCAGATTACTGTAGCTATTTATTGACACTTGACGTTCACGCGACAAAAAATTCTCTCGAAATTTGAGCAATTCCAAAAACTTGCCCGCAGTTATGTCATATAGTAACGCGTCTGGCTAGTATTTGTGTCTCTTTTTAACGTAATTAAACTTCTTAGGTAGAAAGGCGACTGATTGTGTACGATTTTATAAATTAAATTAAATTTGGAATATTTAATTAATACAAGTGTTCCTGGATTGAACAAAACAGATTTTATCTCAAAATCGAGGGGTTTTTGGAAAAATCTATAGCTCGGTTCAGGACTTCTTCCGCTATCTGTATAGATGCAGCATATGTCGGCGAACGTTTTGGTATAATTTTGAGTCATCTTTAAAGTGGGATATCGCAGGATACCTCATTATATTCGAAGTGCCTTTTGGGAAACAGAGTTAGTTTCGAAAATAAGTTTTTTCGTAGAACATAGGACCTGGTCGAAAAAACTTTTCGTTTTCTAAGTAAATGAAGCATTACAAATTCAAAAATTAAATCCAAGTCTTAATCGAACAGTCGTCTTCGTTCCTCTCCTCTTTATCTTGAAGGACTGGATATGAAACAGTTGAACCTCATGAGATATTAAACGTAAAATCGAAAATTTCGGCTCTGTCAAATTGTAGCGCTGATCATTCCCTTCATTTTAGGACCAACCTCAGCTTTCTAGCGTTTAAAATGGTGGAGAAATTTGGGAAATACGGAAATGTGAAGACAAAAATCCATATTATGAGGAAAACGCAAAAGAAGTTTTCCTAAAAAGTTGATTTTCGTCAAATTTGTCGATTTTTTGATTTATAGTGTGTCAGATAGAGCAAAGTGTGGGCTATCGAATGCACTATAGTTTATTCATTTTATGATGAGTTTTG